ACAGATCTCAGAAGTATGTGACTTGTGTCACTTCGTGGACTTGTCTTTTACCCAGGGGCAGGGGCGCAACTACATATTTTTGAGGTGGATGCGAACACATCATCGGCGCCCCCCCCCACCCGCTCCTTTTTTTTAATTTTTTTTATTTTTATTTTATTTTATTTTTTTATTAATAACACACAGAACTACAAAACACTACAAAAGAGAAAGATATATACAAACACTCGTGAAGGGTGTCAGAACTACAGTTTACAAGCTAGGGGGGTTACAAAATGATAAAAATTGAGTAATACAAACATTAAATGAAAAGAATAAACATAAGAAACAAAAAGGAGCAAAACAATATGAGAAACTTAAAACAACAAGTTTTTTGATATCTGTTGTGAAATGGTTCTAGCAGTTTTCCAGTTTTTTAATCTACTTATTGAAGAATAGTACGACTTGAATTTGTTCATAAAACACGGGAAGGAGGGCTGATTGTCCCTCCACTTACTACAATGAATGTGATACTTTGCTATAAGGATGACTATATTTATAGCATCGGAGTAAGCTGAGCTTAAATTATCCATGTAAAATAAAATGGCATCAGCATCAAAGGGAGGAATGTTCAGTTTTAGATTAATCCAGTTTGTAATGTCAGTCCAGAAACTTTGTGAGTATTGACATGAAAAAAACAAATGTTCAAGGGATTCATCTTCAGATTTACAGAAGGTACACAAATCCACCTCAAATTTAAATCTTCTGTGCAGAAGCATGGCTACTGGATAGATCTTATTTATTATTTTAAAATGGTTTTCTTTCACTTTAGGAGATATAGGCCATTTGACAAATTTTGAATGAGCAGAAGTCATTATGGTTTTATGATTTATATTGGGAGGTTTCTTGAATGAATCTTTGTTGTAATCATAGTAAATCGTTTGTCGCATGCATTCATTGATCATCTTGTTACATTTGAGATCAACTAAACTACAGTCATTTAGTTTTAATGTGGGCATGGAAACGGTCACCTTTGAATACATAATGATATTTTTAATTAACTCAAGGCTAAAGGGATTGCTTTACATACCTTCATAAAATCTTTATGGCAGCAGCTAAGGTTATATTTTCTAACAAAAGATGAGAAATTTAAAAGATCTCCATTACAATCCAAGATGTCTGTTACAAAAATGATGCCTTTTTCACACCAGTCTTTTCTAAATATTGACTTTCTGACCACTGTTATTGCTCTATTATTCCACAAGGTTGATCCATGAGGTGAGAAGTTATGGTGAAATATCATTTTCCAGAACTGAAGAACTTGTTTGTGGAAGTTTGATAGTTTAACTGGAATCTTCGTCACTTCGAAGTCACACCTTGCAAGGAAGTCAATTCCTCCCAGCTGTTTAAAAATGGAGGCAGGGATATGAAACCACATTGAATTTTGTTGTTGTAAAAAAGTTTTTAACCATTTAGTCCTAAATGTTCCAACCATTGCTCAAAGTCTAGTGCATTCATACCACCATGCTCATGTTTTGTAACTAGTTGGGACCTTTTAACATAATGAGTCTTATTTTTCCACAAAAACTGAAAGATAATGGAGTTGGCTTTTCTTACATTTTGTGGTGATATATACATAGAATGACATGGATTAACAGACTTGGAAATGCCGTCTGCTTTAGTCAACAGGTTCCTTCCAAAAATATTCAGATCTCTTGTCAACCAACAACTGAGACTTTGTTTCATATGTACTAACCGGTTTGAGATGTTCTCATCTTCCCTTCTAACTGCGTTCTTAGATACTAGTACACCCAAATATTTAACTTCATGTACGACTCTGATTGACTGGATGTTTTTATGAATACAGTTATGAATGGGAAGGATCTCACATTTGTTAATGTTAAGTCCTAGACCTGAAGCCTTAGAAAATAATGAAATTGTATTAAGGGCTCTTTCAACCATTAAATCATTTTTTGAAAAAAAAAAAAAAACCTGTGTCATCAGCAAATTGACTAATCTTGTATTCTCTATCAAACGTTAATTCCCTTTAACTCAGGATTGCTATTAATTTGAAGAGCTAGTAACTGAGTAGTCAAGATAAACAGTTTTGGGGAGATAGGACAACCCTGACGGATGCCTCGCTGGATCTTAAATCTAGAAATAAGTCCTGGATTTAAAGAGACTGAGCTATAGATATCATTATAAAACATCCTAATTAATCCACAAAATGAATCACCAAAACCCCAAAACCTTAAAGTCTCTAACAAAAAAGCGTGTTCAATTGTGTCGAATGCCTTGTAAGAATCAAGAATCATTATCAAGGCAGTCACAATAATCCAACATATCAAGGACCGGTCTAATATGATTGTGTATATTTCTCTCTTTAACAAAGGCTGATTGACTTTCATCAATTATATCTTTAAGTCCTCTATTCAGCCGATCAGCATAAACATGAGCTAAAATTTTATAATCTGTGCATAGCAGAGTGATGGGTCTCCAGTTATCCAGCACTTGCACATCTTTATTAGGTTTTGGAATTAAGGTGATTATCCCTTGTTTCATAGTATTAGAGAGGTTACCTGATGAGATACAGTCTAAGAAAGCTTTATAAAGCATCTCTCTAATCTCTTTCTAAAAGAATCTATAAAATTCAGTTGTTAGCCCGTCCAAGCCAGGCGACATCTTCAAAATAGCCTTATCCAACTCCTCAAGTTCAATTTGTTTTTCCATAAATTGTTTTAAATCTAGATCAATTACTTTATTGAATTCTCTTATGGTGTTTATAAATGTTGAACAATTTGTCTCAGAGTAGTTGGATTTATATAAATTACTGTAAAAATTATGTAATTCTCTATTAATCTGAGTTTCATCTTCAGAAACAGATCCATTTATATTCAGTTTAGTGATCTTTTTTAGTTGCCTGTGTTTTTCCAGGTTAAAAAAATAAAATAAGATGTATTTTTCTCCCCTTCTTCAATCCAGCGAGCTCGAGAACGTATAAAAGCACCTTTAGCTTTTACTTCATATAATTTATCTAGTTCACTCTGTAATTTATTTAATTCAACAAGTTCTTCAGGTGACAGATCAGTCTTTTTACTAAAACTATTAATATTTGTAATATTAAATTGTTGTTGTTGTTTCAGTTTAGACAGTTTTTTACTTGCGTCAATAGCCAGCTCCCTTATTTTAAATCATTCACACAACTAGATTCGGGCAAAGGCACAGGTTTGATGTCACGACGTCATCAAAAAGTGACCTTAAATCTTCTGATGACGTCAGTATTCATAGACCTTTTATTTACAATATGGCGTCGGTGGATTTCAGAGGTAAGAAATTCTCCGTTTTTGTTTGTCATAAGGTTTTTTTTTAACTTTTTACAGCCCGTGTTAATGGTGTTTAAGTTTATATTTGGCGTTAAAGCACATTTCTGTAGAAATACGGTGGTTGACGATTCAATTTATTAGTTTCGGCTTAGCATGGATTAGCTGTTCAGCTAACATAAAAAAAACACCGGGCAGCTGAACAAAGCTTTTAGTTATTTGTCCTGTTAGTTGCTGAGTTGATACACATTTATGTGACGTCAGTTAAAGATGATGAGGTGTAATATAAATTTAACCAGTTGTTACCAGTAACCTCATGCCCACATGATGTCCATGATGATGTGGCTCTGGGACTAACCAGTATAAAGGTTGAATGAATGTAACTGCTGGTTGCATTAGATGTGTGTATTAAATTTACAACTAGTCAGTTCCTCTCACTGTGACTCAGCTGCAGCTTTTGGTTCTAACCACTGAACCCCTAAAATAATTTTTAGTTTCGGTTTTAGCTTTTGATCTGAACATCTGTTGAATTTAACGTTTGAGGGCAAAGAATCGAACAAGAAGTTGGATATAAAAACCATAAGATGGGGATGTTGTTTTGTGTAAACACTCGGTAAAATGTCTTTAAAAGAAAACATGCAAAGTGGTGTTTTTTCAGTTTTAATGTTAAAGTGGTATCTGTCCTCTGACTTTGCAGACAATCTTCTCGGGATATCCTGGGTGGACAGTGGTTGGGTGCCGATTCTGAATCCTGGAAATGTTCTGGATTACTTTTCTGAGAGAAGTAACCCGTTTTATGACCGGACCTGCAACAACGAGGTGGTGAAGATGCAGCGGCTTACTCTGGAACATCTGAAGTAATTTTCTTACACAAAGATGCAGCTGTATGTTTTGTTACACGTATCACCTCCCTCACATACAGGTGGTCCACAGCCTCATAAGGAGGAAGATTACCAGACATTGAGAATTAATTCATAACGGTAATGATCTTTATAATAAACTCATAAGATGAGCCATGCAGAGGTTAATGTTTGTATTGTTTACAGGCAGTTTGACCGCCGACAGGGGTCAGACTCTGTCAAATTTCTATATTCTGATGGATCCAGAACCACATACATCAGTGTTTATTTAGTCGACACTATATTTATTTTACAACAAAAGGTGTGATGTTGTGTGTGTTCCTCAGCTGCACATGTGTTGTTTGACTGTTGTTGTTTTTTCAGTCAGATGGTTGGAGTGGAGTACATCCTCCTTCATGCACAGGAGCCAATTCTTTATATAATCCGCAAACAGCAGAGGCAGACTCCAACACAAGGTGTGTGTGTGTGTGTGATCAGTAGATGGATTAATGTGTATGTCCCATTTTTTTTTCTTACATAAATGTGGCTTTACTAAAGAGTATTAATGTTCTGTTTGTCTGTACTGTTAGCAAAATGTCTCATGACCCAATGGATGGTTTCCATTGAGACCATCAGAAAGTAATTAATAACTGGATGTCTACAACTGATTTACATTTCATTCTGAATCAAGATGGCTGCCATAACTAAGCCATGGCTGACACAGAAATGGCTCATACTCAGTTGTACAGATATGGAGCTAAAAACTGTTGTGGTAGTGGAGAGTCGTTCTCAACACATACTCTGAGCACTTACAGACCATGTGATTAATTTATTACTATTTAGTAATTTTACAAGTTTGACAAAAACGGCTATAAATCAAGCAGAGGTAGGGCAGCCATCTTGAGATGTCGCAGGTTCAATTCCCACTGTGCCTATATGTTGTGGTGTCCTTGAACAAGACGCCTATTCCCTCACTGATCCACGGGCACGTAAACCACTGCACCCCCTGTGTGTATCATGTAATGGGTTAGGTTTGTCATTATATGGCATCAGCTCAGTGACCTCAGTCTAAACTCTGGTTTTACAGGAGGCGGGTGATATGCATTCCTTCAGTGAATATTTGTTTATTTTTATGAATGATTATCAACTGACTGCATAATTCAGTTTGTCCATCCATTATCTTTAACCGCTTCTTCCTTTCTGGGTCATGGGGATCACCGGTGCTCATATCCAGCCATCAACTGTGTGAGAGGCGGGGGACACCCTGGACAGGTCTCCAGTTCATCACAGGGACACATGGAGACAAACGAGACAACCATTCACTCTCACCTAGGGACAATTTAGAGATACCAGTCTAACATGCATGTTTTTGGTCCGAGAGGAAACCGGAGTACCCAGAGAAAACCCACATATGTACGGAGAGAACATGTAAACTCTACCCAGGAAGGCCCCTGGCTGGGATTTCAACCGGCGACCTACTCGCTGAGAGGCAGCAGCTCTACCAACTGATCCACCGTGTCGCCAGAATTTAATTCAGTTTATTTCTGTAGCTCCAAGTCTCACCAGAAGTCGTCTCAGGACACTGTACAAAAACTCACATACTTTATAAAAGCCAATTATTAAAGTTCTCTAAGAAGCAGCAGGTTGTGTTGAATCTTCACTTCGTCTCTGTCTCCCATCCTGAGCAAGAACAAAGGAGACAGTGGAAAGGAAAAACTCTTTTTAACAGGAAGAAATCTCCAGCAGAACCAGGCTCAGGACGAGCGGTCATCTGCTTCGACCGGCTGGTTTGAGAGGACAGGAAGTAGAAACAAACAGAATGACACGTCCAGGTGAACTTTCTATAGGAGGAAAGACGACAAATGTTGTTGGAAATAAATACAAATACTAACAGGTAGAGTAAGTAAAGATGGAAGCTGAGGGAGGAGATATGGTCATAAATAGAGTAATAATTAACAGAACACAAGGTGCACAAGAGTTTAATTTAAATGTTTGTAATATTTAGAGTTTAAAACTTGTGTTAAATGAAATTTTGCCTCCACCTGTGTGTTCACCCTGCAGCGATTCCCTTGGCTGACTATTACATCATAGCAGGAGTGGTGTATCAGGCCCCAGACCTTGGAACGGTGATCAGCTCCAGAGTGGTAAACAGGATCTTACATCTTCTCTTACGGTTTTGGCACATTCGTGTGATAAGTGTTTTAATGTTTACATTGTTGTTGGTTCAGCTCTCTGCAGTCCATGGGATCCAGTCTGCTTTTGATGAGGCCATGTCGTACTGTAGTTATCACCCGTCCAAAGGATACTGGTGGCACTTCAAGGACCAGGAAGAGAGAGGTTTGTTTTAAAATGAACTTCTGGTCACAGTTTAGGTGGCTCTTCAGTTAAAACGATGAAAAACAAATGAAACGGTTGAAAGCAACAACTTCTAGTAAAACTACAAGTTTTGGGACCATATGATCCCAAAGGTTTACCATTTCAGTATCAGGTGGTGATTTGTTAAAATGTTAATCAACATTTTCTTGTTTAAACAGAAAAGACAAAACCAAAGTCCAAAAAGAAGGAAGAGCCTAGTTCTCTGTTTCAGAGGCAACGTGTTGACACGCTCCTCCTGGACCTGCGATCAAAGTTTCCTCCAACTTTCTACCAGGTGCAGGTCCTCCACATAATTATTGTTCATTTCTTTCACTTTGTGTTTTTAGAAAATAATTCAGATTGTCTGTTTTCAGCCCAAACCTGGAGATAAACCTATTCCAGGTATGAGTTTTATTTTATTTTGCATTCTCTCTCAACATCAGTTAATGTTTGAAACGTGAACAAAACGTAAATGAGCTCTTTGGTTTGTGATGTTCTGATTGTAAAGTTGTTGTTTTTGTTTTTTAAATGTGCAAATTTATCTTCCAGTTGAGGTAAAGAAGGAACCTGAACCTGCTGCAGAAAATGTGAAACAAGAGGAGAGAGAACCTGCCGCCAAGTCATCGGCCCCAGCTCCTCCCAGTAAACCTCCTCCTGAGAAGAGAGCCAGGCTGCAGTGACCGCTGCGCCTCCTCGGGCTGCAGTGACCGCTGCGC